TTAATCTTGCATTAGGACAAAGAGTGTTCATGACCTTATAACAAATTCTATAAACAAAAGCCAAATTTCTGGGATCTAGGGTCCATGTCAAAACCTTGAGTTTTAAGGTTAAGGGTTAGTACTTTTAATAAATTTGGATTGGATAATGACACAGAAAAATTTGGAGAGCAGTTGAAATATATAGGTCCATTGCAGACACTCGACTCAACAATCCCTAAAAGGGAGTCACTGAATCTTCTATGTCTACTATCTCTTAGGCAGAGTAAAATCGAATTATTTACTCCTTCTCTAGTTAATGGTTTTACTGCTATTTGTACAATACCTATATGAAGATAGTTATAACCCCTTTTTATATGATCTGCAATCATTTTAGTTGAAATGAGTTGAAAACTATCTTGGTTTTCCATAACTGAGAGAGTTTCTTCAATTGTTTTTATTGGAAAACTGCTTTTAAACTCAAATGTTCCTCTATTATAAATATCATTTGTAGGGACTTTTGGGATATTCCAGTTTTGTAATTGTTTATTAATATTATCTATTATTATTTCTTCTCTATTATTTACTCATAGAGTATTATTACTAGAGCTACCAGAAGCGGTTCTATTTAATAGTATTGTAAACAAATTTGCCATTTATCTTAGTTTTCTTTCCTTGAGTCAACCGGAAACAGTCTCTGCACCTTACCGCCTTCCTAGTTCACGGTGGTCTTTGGGTCACAACGACTTTAGGTATGTTAATTAGATAAATGTACAAATTGGTTCAGTTTTCTACTGAATAAAGTAGGCTCTGTAAAAGAAGCATTATTGCCGATAAGAAGGATAACTTTAAATAAGAATGAGTATCATTGCCGACAATACAGTTAGGTCACTTTTATTGTCGAGAATCCCTAAAAGGGATCTCCTTGATAGATTTGGCTGATTTCTCCTTTTAAGGGCAGTGACTCCTTTTGTTAAGTAGGTCACTTTTTTGGGATCGCTTCTATTAAGGAGATCTCTAGAAGATGACCTCATTACTACCTCAGTCTCATATTCAGGACGATCTATAGTAAATTGGAATATAGATGGAATGTTTGAGAATCAAATTATCGATCTCACGAAACATATGACTATGTATGCCACCGCATGTAAAGCAAGTGGAAATCAAAACTACGAAATTGCTAAAGCCATTATATGTGGTTTTACTGGATGGCTTAGAGGATGGTGGGATTTTTATATGGACGAAGAAGCAAAAAATCAAGTCTTAAATGCTACAAAGCAATGGGCTGTTAAAAGTGAGGTAGGACCAGGACAGGTCCTTGAAAATAAATATCATTTGTAGGGACTTTTGGGATATTCCAGTTTTGTAAATTGTTTATAAATAGATATATATATATATATATGGAAGATACTATAAAATGCATATAGGCGAAAATGAATAGTGATTTCGTTATATCTTCATCACCATCAAAACTTGCGGTCACAGTTGTCCGATAGCGTTTTATTTTTTAGTTTTTTTTTGGCCTAATAAGAATGATCTGATTATTTTTGGGGGTATTTTGGTCAAATTATATTTTACGAATTTTTTTCTTCATATTTTTATTAGGCGCGCCTCACTAAGATGTACATACACTCCAAATTTCAAGTAATTTTACTTGTAAAAAAAAATAAAAATTGAAATATTATCGAACAACTGTGACCGTACGATGAAGTTTGGATGGTAATGAGGGTAGGTGAAATCACTGCTCATTTTCACCTATAGAAGTCG